GCTATGAAAGGTCTTTATTTCACCTTCATTCACAAATGAGAGCTTGGCAGGATATAATATTCTGGGCTGGCAATTTTTCTCTCTTAGCACCTGTGCTGTGTCTCGCCATTCCCTCCTAGCCTATAAGGTTTCTGATGAGAAGTCTGCTGTTAGTCTAATTGGAGATCCTCTGAGAGTAATCTGACGTTTCTCTCTTGCACATTTTAGGATCTTTTCTTTATGTTTCACTGTGGTAAGTTTAATTACCACGTGTCGTGGTGAGGATCTCTTTTGGTCATGTTTATTGGGGGTTCTGTGAGCTTCCTGTACTAGGATGTCTCTGTCCTTCTCCAAACCTGGAAAGTTCTCTGCTAGTATCTCACTAAAAAGGCCTTCTAATCCTTTCTCTCTCTCCATGCCTTCAGGAACTCCTAGAACTCGAATGTTGTTTTTTTTTTAATAGTTTCCTGTAGATTCCCAACAATATTTTTTAGATTTCTAATTTCCTCTTCTTTTCTTTGGTTTGACTGTATGTTTTCCTGTTCTCTATCTTCTAAGTCTGATATTCTCTCTTCTGCTTCACCCATTCTGTTTTTAAGGCTCTCTAATGTGTTTGTCATTTGATCTATTGAGCTCTTCATTTCATTTTGATTTCTCTTCACTATCACACTTTCCTGTTCTACTAGTTTCTGCGTTTCATTTGGATTCTTCCTTAAAATTTCATTTTCACGAGAGAGATTTTCAATCCTGTCCAATAAGGATTTCTGTAGTTCAAGGATTTGCTTTTGAAAACTTCTAAATGTTCTTATCATAAATTTTTTGAAATCCGTACCTTGCATTTCTTCTATCTCATCATCTTCATAATCTTGGCTTGGGGTGTTTTGTTTATTTGGAGGCATCATAGTGTCATCGTTGATCTTGTTCCCTCGATTTCTGTGTTTGTTGCTTGGCATAGTTAATTCTTCTTTCGTCACTGTGTGTTTTTTTTTTAATTTTTTTTTATTTTATACTATGTCCGTGTTAAGTGGACTGCCTGCTGTTGGAGGAGCCTTGGAGGCTTGAGATGTTTGTGGCCTGAGAACTCTGCTTAGTTCTTCCTGGTTACGGGTGTGCAAAGGTGACACCCTCAGGTTATGCGTGGTAAATCTCTCTTTTTATTTATTTATTTATTTATTTATTTATTTTATTTATTCAGGGGGTAAGTAATACCGCACGGCACCGCTGTGCATAATTGGTGGTATTTAGCTTCTGATCTGTGGCTTCTACCCAAAGAGTCTGTGTAGGCTTCTCCTCTGGACTCCCACTGGGTTGCCTATGCTACTGAATTGTAGTGACTCAGTTCCTTAGCTCTCCCCTGTTGATATGTAAATCCAGAGATGGGGCCTGCTCTTTGTTTCTTGTGAATTCTTCAAGCCTTGCAGTCTTGCAACCTTTGCAAGGTTGGCTGAGAGAGAAACCCCCAAGCTTTTTTTTTTCCTTCTTTCCAGTAGTGAGTCTGCTGCACTTTCCGGCCCCCCTCTAGATTCTGACCCCCATTTCCCCGCCAATGTCTCGGGTTATTGAGCTCACCTCCCCTTCCAATGACGATGTGTGGACTTGGAGCCCTGGACGTCCCAACTCTCCCCGCTGGTGTCTGTGTGACATGCACTCCCCTTCCTGCACTGGTGTGCAGACCCTGTGGCTCCCACGGCTCCCGCGGCTCCCGCAGCTCGGCTTCCGCGCAGTGGGCGACCTTGTTCTCCCAGTAGGTCCTCTGATTCACAGCCACTCGATCCAGAAGTGTTTCCTCTGCAATATTTTCCTGGTTGTTTTTTCTGAGGCTACCGTAACTCCCCTTTTATTAAACTAAATTTTCCCAGACTATTGGTGTGCGCCCTCACTATTCCGCCATCTTGGCTCCACCCCCCGGTTGCCTTTCAATTTCCTGACTGTTTCTTTTGCAGTACAGAAACTTCTCAATTTGATGCAATCCCAAATGAGGATTGGCCCTTCCATACCCTGTTTGCTTAGAGTTTTCATCATGAAAGGGTGTTGAATTTTATCAAATGCTTTCTCCGCATCTATTGAGATAATCATATGGCTTTTCTTCTGCAGTCTGTTAATGTGGTCTATCACATTGATTGTTTTACGCACATTAAACCCTCCCTGCATACCAGGGATAAATCCCACTTGGTCTGGGTGGATGATCTTTCTGATGTGTTGTTGCATTCTATTGGCCAGAATTTTATTGAGGATTTTTGCATCTATGTTCATCAGGGATATTGGTCTGTAATTCTCTTTCAATGCTGCATCTTTTTCTGGCTTAGGAATTAAGGTGATGGTGGCTTCATAGAAAGAATTTGGGAGGATTCCATCTTTTTCGATTGTTCTGAATAGTTTGAGAAGAATTGGAGTTGTTCTTTAAATATCTGGTAGAATTCAGCCGTGAATCCGTCTGTTCCTGGGCTTTTCTTTGTTGGGAGGGCCTTTATTACTGTTTCAATTTCTGTCTCAGTTATGGGTCTATTTAGGTTTTCTATGTCTTCCTGGTTCAATTTAGGTAGTAGGTTGAATGTGTCCAGGAATCTATCCATTTCTGATAGATTTCCCTGTTTGCTGGCATACAAGTCCTTGTAGTAATTTCTGATGATTCTTTTTATTTCTGTGGTGTCTGTTGTTACGTTTCCTTTTTCATCTCTGATTTTATTGATTTGGGTCTTTTCTTTTTTAGTTAGTTGGGCCAATGGGGTGTCAATTTTGTTTATTTTTTCAAAAAACCAGCTTCTCACTTAGCTGATTTTTTTGTAGTGTTTTTTTTTTGGATTCAATCCTGTTGATTTCTTCTCTGATATTAATTATTTCTCTTCTCCTACTAGATTTGGGTCTGGTTTGCTGTAGGTTTTCTAGATCCTTGAGATGCAGTGAAAGCTCATCTATTTGGTGCCTTTCCAATTTCTTGATGTAGGCTCCTATTGATATAAACTTTTCTCTTACTGCTTTTGCTGTGTCCCATAAGTTTTGGTATGTTGTGCTGTTATCCTCCTTTACTTCCAGAAAAGTTTTGATTTCTCTTTTAATTTTGTGGGGAGCAACTCGGACTAGACTAAGTTACTCAAATTAAGACTTATTCTATGCATCTGCTCTCCCACAATATGGCGCTGGGAGAGGAGTAAACAACTTCTACACAGCTGCCTCTCGCCAATTTGACTGATGAGCTGCAGGAGCTGATCTTGCTCCTGATTGGAGGAGAGCAGCGTACTCGGCATGTGGGTAGCAGAGTTGGGATTGGTGGAAGAGGACTATAAAGGAGGAGAGAGACAACATGCACCAGGAACATCTAAAGGGAACATCCGGATAACATCTGAGCAGCCCCCGAGAGAGCCGGCTGGCAGTGTGCCGCTCCCCCGCGGAAGTGGGGAAAGTGGCAGGGGGAACCGCCCCTCCATGGAGGTGGAGGGGTTGCCAGCCAACCCGGGAGGGACCAGCAGCAAACCCGGGAAGGGCCGAGCAGACAAAAGAACATCCCAGGGTCCTGTGTCATTCCTCCGTGAAGAGGGGGAGCGACAAATTTCTTCTATGACCTATTTTTCATTCAGGAGCATGTTGTTTAATCTCCATATGTTTGCATATGCTCTAAGGATTCCTGAGTTGCTAATTTCCAACTTCATTCCTTTATGGTCTGAGAAGCTGCATCGTATGATTCTAATTCTTTTGAATTTGCTGAGACTTACTTTATGGTCTAATATGTGGTTAGTCCTAGAGAAGGTTCCATGTACTGCTGAGAAGAATGTAAATGCTTTCTGTGTAGAATGGTAGAATGAAAAGTTCTGTAGATATCTGTTAGATCCATTTAGGCTATAGTGTCATTTAAATCTACTGTATCCTTGTTGATCTTCTGTCATGTTGATCTGTCTATTTCTGAGAGTGGGGTATTAAAGTCTCCCAGTACTATTGTATTGGGGTCTAAGTCTCCCTTTAAGTCCATTAACAAATCTTTTAAATAAACTGGTGCCCTGTAATTAGGTGCATATACATTGATAATCATTATATCTTCCTGTTGAATTGATCCCTTAATCATTATATAGTGCCCCTCTTCAGTTATAAAGTATAATTTTAAGTGAAAATGGAATATCATGTAATTCTCAGAATTATATCTACAAACTATATTGAAATCTGTTAAAAGCTAATTAAAAATTAAGAGAAAAAAGAAAAAAAGAGATGATCCAAAGAATGAAAATGGGTAAAAATAATGTTTTTGTTGATCATAGTAATACTTTTCTGTTTTTTTTTTTTTTGACAGGCAGAGTGGACAGTGAGAGAGAGAGAGAGAAAGGTCTTCCTTTTGCCATTGGTTCACCCTCCAATGGCTGCCATGGCCGGTGCATCGTGCTGATCCGAAAGCAGGAGCCAGGTGCTTTTCCTGGTCTCCCGTGGGGTGCAGGACCCAAGCACCTGGGCCATCCTCCACTGCACTCCCAGGCCACAGCAGAGATCTGGCCTGGAAGAGGGGCAACCGGGACAGAATCCAGCACCCCAAATGGGACTAGAACCTGGTGTGCCGGCACCACAAGGCGGAGGATTAGTCTGTTGAGCCATGACGCCAGCCTTTCTTTCTGTTTTAAGAGAGAGATGAAGAGAGGAAGGAGGAAGAAGGTTGGAAGAAAGAATAGGGTGGGAAATATCACTATGTGCCTTAAACTGCATATATGAAATACATGAAATTTATATACCTTAAAATAAATTTTATGAAATACATGAGATTTGTATACCTTAAATAAAATTTTAAAAAATTTGAAACTCTGTACCACGGACTTACTTTTTGATAAGAGAAACATTTAATTCCAATTCTAGGAATTGTAAATAATTCTGTTTCCACCTAATAAAAATTTTTATGATTTCCTTCCAATATTTCATTGACTTTGACTTTCAAAAGTAATAATTAAAATGTAGCAATGTTAAACAATTCTGTAATAGAGGTTCCTTTCCTCTGGACTGTTACAGTAGCATCCACTCAACCCTCCCTGATCCTAGCTCCTACTTACCTCCAATGAATATCCTGGCTTTCACTTCTAGACTCTTGTCAGAGAGTTGGATGGAACATGATATGCTTCCAGAATTTTTTCTGACTGTAAGGAATGTCTCCACATCAAACAGGCCATGCATGTTTCTAATAACTTTTGAGTCTGAAGGTAAATCATTTCCTTCTGAGCCTTTCCATCTCACTATGGGCTGGGATAACCAACCAGAGGACTGACAGTGTAGCTGGATGCCTCCATCAACATATCTCATCACAGAAATGAGAGGAGTTAAAGTCATCTCCATGTCTAGGAAGAAAACAGAAAAGATTAAAAACAAACATCATATCTCAATGCCACAGCTAAACCAAGCCAAGTTCATCAGTTCCTTCAACTTAACTATTCTCTATCTCTGTTTTACACAAAATGTACATTTATAACACTTCTTATAGTCCTTTCATACCCCTTTTATTGAGGTGAGGGGAATATTGGGGTCCAACTGTTTTGGTTTAGAGCTTGGACCCCATCACTGTCCATCATTTCTGAGGAACCTCAGGTAAGTCCCCTTAATTTTTTTTAAGATTGATTTATTGCAAGATGGTGGAATAGGAAGGGAGCACACTGAGAGACTGGGGAGAGACAGTTTAATAAAAGTGGAGATACTGCAGATTCAAGAAAGAGTAGGGGAGGAAACAGCAGAAGAAACTCTTCCGGAATGCGTGATTCACAGTGGACCTGCGTGGAGAGCGTGGGAGCCCACAGTTCGGGACACCAGCAGCAGACTCAACACACCAGCGCTGGAACGCGAGGTGAGCCGAACCTCAATAGCCCGAGACACCGGCAGGCAAGCGGAGAGAGGAGACTAGAGGGAATGACCCCCGGGGGGGAAAAGTTCAACAGGCTAACTAGAAGAGAGAGAGAGAAAGTGACTGGTACGGACACGGGTTTCTCTCTCTCCGCTCACCTCTCAAGGGCGAGCAAGACAAAGAGCAGGCACCATTGTGGACATATGTCATAAGCAGAGCGACCTCAGGTCTGCACCGGCCCTGAGCCTAGCAGAAAAACCTGACTCTGGGCGGGGCGAATTAACAGGAGATTAGGACCTAGTAAATTTGTGGTGCTACTGAACTGAGACTGTGAAAAAAGAGACAGTGGGGGAGAGAACTCACGGAATTCACGTGAGTACTCTCCAGAGACGCTACAATTCCGTAACTTTGGCAACCCAGTGGGAGACTGAAGGAGAATCTGAGGCCACCCTGAGGTCAGAACAGATTCCCTGTGTGGTCCTTGGGAAAGAGATTCTGATCTCTGGCTCCTGTGGGTATATCATTTGCCTGCTAACTACCTCCAACCTCGTTCAGCTGTGCGGAATTACTTCCCTTTTGAATCAAAAAAAGAAAGAAAGAGAGAGATCTACCACGCCTAACCTGGGAGTGTCACCTTTGGCACACCAAACAGAGCTCTCAGGCCACACCCATCTCAAGCCTCTAAGGCTCCATCAAAAACAGACAGTCCACTTAATCTAGAGTCATAGTATAACAAGAAAAAGCACCACAGTGAAGAAACCAAATATCTCCAATATGCCAAATAACAAACGCAAAAACCGAGGTAATAAAAACAAGGCAGTCACCATGACGCCCCTAAATGAAAAAGACACCCCAATTCAAGATTATGAAGATGATGAGATAGAAGAAATGCAAGAAGCAGATCTAAAAAAATTGATAAGAACATTAAGAAGTTCTCAAAAACAAATTCTCGAATGAATGAAGGTGAAATAAAGACCTTTCACAACAAACAGAAATTGAAAGAATTTGTCGACACTTGTCCAGCCCTGCAAAAGATGCTTAAAGATGTATTGCACACAGAAACACAGAAACACGGTCATCAATATGAAAGAAGGTAAAGGAAGGAAACCTCACAGCAAAAGATCACAGGGAATTCAAAGCATATATTAGAACTTATCTTTGGCAAATGGCAGGGCAAAGTTACCACTTATCATTAGTCACATTGAACGTTAATGGCCTGAACTGTCCAGTTAAAAGACACCGATTGGCTGATTGGGTTAAGGAACAAAACCCATCTATTTGCTGCTTACAAGAAACACATCTTTCCAAGAAAGATCCATACAGACTGAAAGTGAAAGGCTGGAAAAAGATATAGCATGCCAACAGAAATGAAAAAAGAGCAGGCGTAGCCATCTTAATATTGGACAACATAAACTTTACCACAAAAACTGTTAAGAGAGACAAAGAGGGACACTAAATAATGATTAAGGGATCAATACAACAAGAAGATATAACAATTATTAATGTATATGCACCTAACTACAGGGCACTGGTTTATCTAAAAGATTTGTTAAGGGACTTAAAGGGAGACTTAGACCCCAATACAATAGTACTGGGGGACTTCAATACTCCACTCTCAGAAGTAGACAGATCAACAGGACACAAGATCAACAAGGAAACAGCAGATTTAATTGACACTATGCCCAAATGGATCTAACAGATATATACAGAACTCTCAATCCTACAGCTAAAGATTTTACATTCTTCTCAGCAGTGCATGGAACCTTCTCTAGGATTGACCACATACTAGGCCATAAAGCAAGTCTCAGCAAATTCAAAAGAATTAGAATCATACCATGCAGATTCTCAGACCATAAAGGAATGAAGTTGGAAATTAACAACTCAGGAATCCCTAGGGCATACGCAAACACATGGAGATTGAACAACATGCTCCTGAATGAACAATGGGTCATAGAAGAAATCAAAAGAGAAATCAAAAACTTTCTGGAAGTAAATGAGGATAACAGCACAACATATCAAAACTTATGAGATGCAGCAAAAGCAGTGTTAAGAGGAAAATTTATATCAATAGGTGCCTACATCAAGAAATTGGAAAGGCACCAAATAGATGAGCTTTCAATTCACCTCAAGGATCTAGAAAACCTACAGCAAACCAGACCCAAATCTAGTAGGAGAAGAGTAATAATTAAAATCAGAGAAGAAATCAACAGGATTGAATCAAGAAAAACATTACAAAAAATCAGCCAAACGAGGAGCTGGTTTTTTGAAAAAATAAACAAAATTGACACCCCATTGGCCCAACTAACTAAAAAAAGAAGAGAAAAGACCCAAATCAATAAAATCAGAGATGAAAAAGGAAACATAACAACAGACACCACAGAAATAAAAAGAATCATCAGAAACTACTACAAGGACTTGTGTGCCAGCAAACAGGGAAACCTATCAGAAATGGATAGATTCCTGGACACATGCAACCTACCTAAATTGAAACAGGAAGATATAGAAAACCTCAACAGACCCATAACTGAGACAGAAATTGAAACAGTAATAAAGGCCCTCCCAACAAAGAAAAGCCCAGGACCAGACGGATTCACGGCTGAATTCTACCAGACATTTAAGGAAGAACTAATCCCATTTCTTCTCAAACTATTCAGAATAATCGAAAAAGATGGAATCCTCCCAAATTCATTCTATGAAGCCACCATCACCTTAATTCCTAAGCCAGAAAAAGATGCAGCATTGAAAGAGAACTACAGACCAATATCCCTGATGAACATAGATGCAAAAATCCTCAATAAAATTCTCACCAATAGAATGCAACAACACATCAGAAAGATCATCTACCCAGACCAACTGGGATTTATCCCTGGTATGCAGGGATGGTTTAATGTGCGCAAGACAATCAATGTGATACACCACATTAACAGACTGCAGAAGAAAAACCATATGATTATCTCAATAGACACGGAGAAAGCATTTGATAAAATACAACACCCATTCATGATGAAAACTCTAAGCAAACTGGGTTTGGAAGGAACATTCCTCAATACAATCAGGGCAATCTATGAAAAACCCACAGCCAACATCCTATTGAATGGGGAAAAGTTGGAAGCATTTTCACTGAGATCTGGTACCAGACAGGGATGCCCACTCTCACCACTACTATTCAATATAGTTCTGGAGGTTTTAGCCAGAGCTGTTAGGCAAGAAAAAGAAATTAAAGGGATACAAATAGGGAAGGAAGAACTCAAACTATCCCTCTTTGCAGAAGATATGATTCTTTATTTAGGGGACCCAGAGAACTCTACTAAGAGACTATTGGAACTCATAGAAGGTTTTGGCAAAGTAGCAGGGTATAAAATTAATGCACAAAAATCAACAGCCTTTGTACACAGGCAATGCCATGGCTGAGAAAGAACTTCTAAGATCAATCCCATTCACAATAGCTACAAAAACAATCAAATACCTTGGAATAAACTTAACCAAGGACGTTCAAGAACTCTACGATGAAAATTACAAAACCTTAAAGAAAGAAATAGAAGAGGATACCAAGAAATGGAAAAATCTTCCAAGCTCATGGATTGGAAGAATCAATATCATCAAAATGTCCATTCTCCCAAAAGCAATTTATAGATTCAATGCAATACCAATCAAGATACCGAAGACCTTCTTCTCAGATCTGGAAAAATTGGTGCTGAAATTTATATGGAGGCAAAAGATACCTCAAATAGCTAAAGCAATCTTATACAACACAAACAAAGCCGGAGGCATCAAAATACCAGATTTCAGGACATACTACAGGGCAGTTGTAATCAAAACAGCATGGTACTGGTACAGAAACAGATGGATAGACCAATGGAACAGAATTGAAACACCAGAAATCAATCCAAACATCTACAGCCAACTCATATTTGATCAAGGATCCAAAACCAATCCCTGGAGTAAGGACAGTTTATTCAATAAATGGTGCTGGGAGAACTGGATTTCCACATGCAGAATCATGAAGCAAGACTCCTACCTTTCACCTTACACAAAAATCCACTCAACATGGATTAAAGACTTAAATCTACGACCTGATACCATCAAATTATTAGAGAGCATTGGAAAAACCCTGCAAGATATAGGTACCAGCAATGACTTCTTGGAAAACACCCGACAAGCACAGGCAGTCAAAGCCAAAATCAACTATTGGGATTGCATCAAATTGAGAAGTTTCTGTACTGCAAAAGAAACAGTCAGGAGAGTGAAGAGACAACCGACAGAATGGGAAAAAATATTTGCAAACTATGCAACAGATAAAGGCTTAATAGCCAGAATCTACAAAGAGATCAAGAAACTCCACAGAAACAAAACAAACAACCCACTTAAGAGATGGGCCAAGGACCTCAATAGACATTTTTCAAAAGAGGAAATCCAAATGGCCAACAGGCACATGAAAAAATGTTCAAGATCACTAGCAATCAGGGAAATGCAAATCAAAAGCACAATGAGGTTTTACCTCAC